ATGGCAAATTATGTGTGCCTTTACATGTAGTTATCATGCACTATTTGTGAGATTAATTGCCAAGTAACATCGTAATGTTCTCAGCCTCTGTGCCAGTGGTTCTGAAAAACACTGGAAAAATTTGCTGCCTGAAGAAAAATAGCCAGTTGCATTTCATCAAGACTAAAGGTCATATCACATCAACAGAAAATCCTTGTGGATATTAAGACTGAACTGGAGGACAGCTAAGCCAAAGTTACACTGTTTGAATCCAGATAACATTTATGTCTCAGACACCAACATACAAAGTCTTTTTTTTCTATGATATTGGGGGTTTTGAACTCAGGGCCTCATGCTTACTAGACAGGCACTCTACTACTCGAGCCACCCCTGCAGCCCAACATAGAAAAATCTTGAGATGAAAGATCTGTGGGAGAAAATCAGTGAGAGGAAAAAATCCTGTTGGCTGGGAAGCCAACAGGAAGATTATCAACATCAATAATAATTAGAAAAACAAATAAATGAACAAAAAACCCCAAAAGGTATCTGAAAGCATATCGCCTTGCCAGTTAGGAGTTACAGGCATATGTTTTGAATTTTCTGTTGTTTCATTTGTAGAAAGATTTGGAAGCAGGAATCCATTATTGAAATTTAATGCTGAGTTGAGAAAAGCCCATTTCCAAAGGGAATAGTTAGCTGGAAGGAAGGGCTTCATCCGGCCAGCACTGGGGTAGCCAGCTCTGGAGCATGAGTAACGGACATCCTGAAAGGAACTGGAGAATCCTGGGTGACTCAACAAGTGGGCCAGGTCACTGGGGTACAAGTGGCATCGCCATCAAGGCAAGGATGCAGTGAGTCCTAGAGTTCTGAGTGACCATGCTTTCCTAAAGGCCTCCCATGACCCTATTCGAACATGGTCCAGACCTGGGGCCCTTGCTGCTGGGTGGGGAGATGAAATACTGCAAATGCAGTCTGGACAATGTCTTCCTTCCTGACTCAAGAAAAGCTAATTCAAACCAACCACTGTAACAAAGCATTCCAACTCTTTCAATCCCCAGGACATCTGGCTGGCCGGAGGCCTGGCTGAGGAAGTCACCTCTGCCCCCAGGGCTACATTTGCCCAGGATCAGTGCTTCCCAAAGGACACTGATGGAGTCACATCCTGACTCCACTGCAGGTCTGTGCGAGAGTGCAGGGACTGAGGGAAGTGTGTTCTTTTGGCAGGACTGGGCTCTTGAGTCAGCATCTTTCACCCAGCAGGATGTCAGTAAATATTTAGCAAATGAGAGAATGGGTGACAGATGAGAGGACCTCCACACTTCCAGTCACAGCCCAAGCCTACATAAACAGAGTTACCTGTACTTCCCTCAGCTGGTCCCACTGTGTCTTGCACCTTATCCATCCCATGCTGGATGCTGGAAGCCCCCTTCCTCTTCCTGCCCTGGCAGGTGGCTACTCCAGGGCAGCCTCAGTCATGAGGCCTCCCAGTTGGTGCTCTTCTCTTCCCACCAACCTGAGCCTTCTCCTCTCTGCCTCACCATCTCTTGCCTGCCATCTTCTCACAGACCTTTTAAAAAGCCCCAAGGACTTGAATGTCTTGTTCACTGGTCCAGGAGCTTTCTGCAAGTCCAGCTGCATTTTATTTCTAGAGTTTCGATTTGCTAGGCGCTCTGTATCAGGAACAGTCCCATGTACAATATACTACAGACAGTAGATTATGGGTTACAAAGAGGGTAACAAAATACCCTTGAGGTAGGTAGACTACTAGATCCACTTTTCAGCTAAGGCACAACAAGGCTGAGCACTGTACTGAAGGTGGTCCTATTCGTTAGTGGTCTGCTCAGTGCCAGTCCCCCCTCAAAATAAAAAAGGTCCACGGTCTAATCTAGAACCTGTGAGTACATTACCTTAATGGCAAAAAGGACTTTACAGATACAATTAAGTTAAAGATAGGAGATTATCTTGGCTCACCCAGGCAGGCCCAGTATAATCACCAGCGTCCTTCTAAGAGGGAGGCAGGAGGCTCAGAGTCAGGGAAAGAAATGTGACTACAGAAGCAGAGGTTGGAGAGACACAGAGATTGAAAGCTGCTATACAGATGGCCTTGAAAATGAAGGAGGAGCCATGAGCCAAGGAATGCAGGTAGCTTCTGAAAGCTGGAAAAGGCAGGAAGACAGATTTTTCCTCAGGAGCCTCTAGAAGCAAGTGGACCTGCCAACACCTGGCTTTGAGGATGTCTGACCTCCAGAACTGTCACAGCAGCCATAGGAAACTCTCAGAGTGCCCTTCACCTTGGAGACTAGGCAGCCCCACTAATACAGAGAGAGAGGGTCCCATTGAATTTGTAAGTGGGGGTTAAAGGCCCATTCCAAGAGCTGATGGTGCACAGGGCCACAGCTGGTGGTGGCTTTCCATGTTCTCTGCTCTCCCAAGGAAGTTTGCTGGTAATTTGAGCTGAGAAGGGGCTGCCAGGGGCACTCTGAGACATAGGGAGTCACAAGTGTGAGGTAGCTCCCCAAACCTGGTTCCCAAACCTTGTCTCTGTGATTTGCTTAGCATTACCTGCAATGAATTACTCCTGGCCAATTCTGCCATGCCCAGGTCAAGGCCTCCCCAGTGATCAGTGACAGGGTGAGAGATGAGATCAAGAGAGAAGATCGAAGTGGGGTTTCCAGGGAAGCACCCTCCTCAGGAAGGGGACACAGCTTCCTGAGCAGCCAGGCCTCTGGCCTCACCCTTGTCAACAAAGATGAGAGGTCAAGGGGGAACTTTCTTCATGACCTCTTGTTTTGAAAAGCCAATCTGTGAGTCTTTTCTTTCCCTCCTTCCCTCCCTCCTTCCCCTCCTGTCTCTTGCTCTCTCTTTTCAGGCAGCTTAGGAAGGACTAGTCTGATAAGATAATAAATATCAGCGTAGGTCACCATCAATCAAGAACACAAGGCAGGCTGAGTTACGTTGCACAGCGGTTCAGAGAGCACCGTGGAGTTCTTTTTGACCTCACGTTGGAGAGCATGCCAGCCTTCTCAGCACAGTGGGGCAGTAGAGGCTCTTTCAGCCTCAGTTTTCAGTGTCAGCGTATTCTGGCATCAGGATGCTCCCTGATAGCATCAGAAGGACCCCTGTCCCTCTAGAAGAGAGCTTACTGACTCTGCAGAAGGGCTGGGAGGGGACAGCCACTAGGAATATTTGAAGCCACAAGGACCTGGTCTGCAGCAGTAGCTGCTGTCCCAAAGTGATCTTGTTGGCTGAAAGTTGTCTGAGGTTGCTAAACCATTCAGACCCCTTGTGGCCATGTGATGTGTGTGCAGTGAGTGCCTTCGCAGTGCTTGTCTTGTAACAAGGGTGTCCCGACTCTACCTTGAGCACTTAGTGGTAGCAAGGAGGCCTGGGACCCCGGGCTTCCTCGTGCCACCTGCATATCGCAATTGTGGTTCACTGCATTCAGGTTACTGTCTTCTACCTCAGGAAGCTCTAAGTGCAGAGGGGCATTTGTGGTTGGCAAGGCAATGGGCTCCACGCCAGGACGCAGCTTCCAGAGACATTCTCCATGCTTGGCCTCTGCTTCCACGTGACATTTAAGGCCGGCCTTCTACTTCTAGTCATCATTTTCTGCTCTAGTTTATTCCCCTGTCATTTCTGAAACCAGACCCTTACTGAAAAGCCTGGCTCAGATTTCCCTGAGGTCACTTGACCCTGGGTCTGAGTCTAGCTGATCATAGTAGCCTGGCTGATGCTGGGGTCTGGCCAGGTCACCTTTCAGCCTCAAGCAAGGCCTTGGCCAAGCTGTAAGGGAAAGAGAGAGAACCACAAGACCCTCTTAAAGAGCACTCCCCAGAGAATTCTCATCCAGAATCCTGGTTGCTGGAGGCAGGGATCAAATCCCAAATGGTTCCTGGGGTGGCGAGGCCCTGGATTTCTGACCCTAGACTGGAGCAGTGGTAGAGAGGTAAATGTAGGGTACAGATTCTGCTCCATTTTGCCTCTGAACCTCTGCTTACTTTGAGAGCCTTTTTGTAGGACTTTAGACCAAGACCTCACTTGCTCTTTGGGGTGACTGTGCTCTATGGGGGGTTACACCTGGTGGTTGGGCCAGTGACAGAGTTCAAATTCCAGCTGTGTTTCCTTGGGAAGCGGACTTCTTGTCTTAGAGTTTTAGCTTTACCCTCTGTAATGCTAAAGTCATTGACCATACCTCAAGGACTGGAGGGTCAGAAAGGCCAAGTGGGCCAAGTGCCCAACTAAGAGCACTGTCCCTTGGGATGCAAAGAATAGATGTCTTCTTGTTTGATTCAGTCACCATGGGAGTTACATCCTGGCTGCCTTCCCACCTGGGTTCTTTTTCTAGAATACACACCAAACCTGTCCTAGCAAATGGCATTCCACGCCATCATACAGCTGTCTCATCTCCCCCCACCACCAGCTTGTAGCCTCAAACAAGCCACTTTGAGCCTGAATTTCTTCAACCACAAAAAGATGAGGCGGTGGTCAGAGGACACCTAACATCCCTCGCATCCACTGTCTCTTACATGCTATAGGCTTTCTTGTCTAAGAGTTGGCTCACCATTGCCTGTTCTTTGGGGGTCATAGACTTACTCTTGCATCAAGTTGGATCTGGGAACTTCTCTGGGACCAGCCTTTGTTCTCTCTACCCCTCCCCAAGCTGCAGTGTCATCTCTCTCTAGGATCCTCAGCCCTTGATTGGGGCCCTTATTTGTGCATAAGAGACATCCCCACAGTCTGAGTGGTGGCAGGAAGTTCTACCTGTCCACTCAACCCTGTACATGCCAAGTCCTGGCCAACTCCTCCCTGCCACCCATGGAGCACCTAGTGTCATTCCTGCCTCTCTTGTTGGGCTGCATTGAACTCCTCAGGCTCCAGGAAGCTGCACTGTTGCCTGCTCCATGCTTCTGCCTCTGCCGGGTAGCCAGTCATCCCGCACTGGACAGAATGGATGCTTTGTGGGTGGTATGATCCAGGAGCAAGGATTTCTGCCCAGCCTCGAGCAAGTGGTAGCCACATACCTGGTCCCCAGAGTGTGACACACTGCTGTTCGTGGGTCTGGCAGATGCCGTTGTAGCAGTAGCCATCCACTCCCTGGCACCGGTGGCCGTCGTGCAAGTACACGTTGGCTGGGCACTGGGGACTGGCTCCTGTGCAGAACTCTGGGAGGTCACAGGAGTTGCTGGAGCTCCTGCACGCAGTTCCTGCAGGCTTCAGCTGGAATGACAGGGTGGCTTAGGGCATGAGCACTCAGGTAAGGGAAAGTGGCTCTCCAGAGGTGGAGCAGAGCAAGGCCACCTCCATGCACCCTTCAGAAATGGTGAGAATTTTAAGGTAAGCCCCTTTTACAGCATAGAGAACTTATTAAACGGTCTTGTTCTGGCATTCACCTTTCTTCTGTAACGGGATGGGCAGCCATTTTGGGCTTGCAAGCAGTGTTAGGGTTTCTAGATGAGCGAACATGTTGCTGGCTGTCACCTGTCATCTCAGGCCACCAGGCAGGTTGATTCTTCTCTGGTTGCCAGTACTGTCACATGTTTTAAGTTGACATTTGTACTCCCAGTTTGCATTTGTGGGCAAATTAACAAAAATAATTCCAAGGGCACAAGTCAACAGCAACGTTAATTTGTCATCAAACTACAGAACTACAAACCTCTGTAGATCTCTGTGGGGAAAAGTTAGAGAAGAGGTAAAACACAGGGGTGGTGAGGGATGTTAGGTGTCCTCTGACCACCGCTTCATCTTTTTGTGGTTGAAGAAATTCAGGCTCAGAGTGGCTTGTTTGAGGCTATAAGCCAGGGGCCTCCACATTGTGGGTTTGGATCCCTGCACACTTCTCAAAGGCAGTGAGAAAAAAAATCCCTGCTCCCTTCTAGAAGGTCTGGGATTTGGAAGGAATTGTTTAAAAGTCATTAAAATGGTTGTACTAGTTTACATTCCCACCAGCAGTGTAAGAGGGTTCCTTTTTCCCCGCATCCTCGCCAACACCTGTTGTTCATGGTGTTGCTGATGATGGCTGTTCTAACAGGGGTGAGGTGGAATCTTAGTGTGCTTTTAATTTGCATTTCCTTTATTGCTAGACACAGAGAAACTAAAGCAGATACCTTAAAAGCAACTGAGGCCAATAGGAGAAGGGGACCAGGAACTAGAGAAAAGGTTAGATCAAAAAGAATTAACCTAGAAGGTAACACACACACACAGGAAATCAATGTGAGTCAATGCCCTGTATAGCTATCCTTATCTCAACCAGCAAAACCCCTTGTTCCTTCCTATTATTGCTTATACTCTCTCTTCAACAAAATTAGAGATAAGGGCAAAATAGTTTCTGCTGGGTATTGGGGGGGGGAGAGGGAGGGGGTGGAGTGGGTGGTAAGGGAGGGGGTGGGGGCAGGGCGGAAAAATGACCCAAGCTTTGTATGCACATATGAATAATAAAACAATAAAAAAAAGGTAAAAAAAAAAGTCATTAAAATGGCTCACCCCCTGGCATTGCCACATGCTCCTCCTTCTCCTGCCTCCTGTGATCATTTTGAGTCTCTTCTGGGTAAGCTCAGCCTTCTCCCTCCTCCCCTCAGCTACTTTCAGGCACCTTCCATCAGCAGTAGCTGGGTGCCAGGAGTTGCCACCTTCTTACGACATTTCCAGAAGTTAATGACCATCAGGAGGGGAACAGAGGATATTTTAGCACAGAACATAAAATGTTACGATGCACTTCTAAATCACCTGTGCCAGGGGACAGCTAAAGGGAGTCTTCTGTAAGCCAAGACCAAGTGCTTCAGTTATAAGAAATAAAACTCAAGCCAAAGCTCAGGGTTCTACTTTGTCACAGATCAGCTCTGTTATGAGATAAACAATGGACTGCCAAAGCAAATGTGGTCACAGTGGCAATAATGGCAAAAGCATAAAAGTGCTACTCTTGATTGTGCCGGGTGGGCCCAGCATCTTCTGTTGGAAGGACGTTAAAATCAAGATGCTTATCTGAACCATCCTGGAACAACCTGTATGGTTTCTTGGCAGATGTTCTTGGCATCAGGGAGGTAGACGAGGTGTGAGGCTAAGTGACAGGGGTTGGGATCTGGTTCTCCTCCCATTTTTCTAGTCCTGGTGATAGGACCCCCTGTGCAACCCATGGCATAAATGGATCATTAATGTTGAGCTCAAGCTTTTTGTCCTGTTAAGTTTTCAGCCCATAAATAAATAATTTACCAAGATGAATAGCAAGTAAATGTGCATTTCACTAGAAAGCAATAAAAATAGATAATACTAGTGCATGGGAAAAGGAATGAGAGTTTTCGCAGGACAAGCACTGGGAAATTGATCTGCCATATTGCTTGCCCTGCATCAGATTTGAACCACTGGACTCTGTCGGTGACTTTGGGGCGAAGTTGCAGCCTGCATGACCTCACCTGACAGTCTTCACAGCACAGCCCATGTGCACACACAGCATCTGGCTTCAGGGTACAGGTGGTGGCATTGCAGCAACGATTTGTACATTCCTGGGGAATGAAAGAAGATCCATTTGACAAGGTCCTACAGAGAAATGAGTCATAGGACACAAGTGGGCATCTGAATGGTGTGCGACAGAACAAGAGGGCCTGGGTCTTGACCTGAAATCCGGCTCAAGGGTCATTTCATCTGCAAGACAGCAAAACGTCTGCTAAGTTCCATGGACTGACTAGTGCTGTGCATCCCTGGGAGAAGTCAGTTGCACTGAGTACCTTTCATGAAAGGTAAAGGGGCTAGAGGAGGAGGGCTGGCTGCAGACAGGAAGCCGTTCTGATCTGTGGCATGCTGGGGCTCCAAGAGAAGTCTCCATGCAGGACTCACTACAGTGAATTCCAGGAGGATCCTTGGAAGTCTTTCCAGTTACCCATTCAGAAAAATATACATTGATTTATGTACACCTTACTCTTCAAAAATGAACCCTTTTGATAGGGCCAGAGGTATATCTTAGTGGTAGAGCACTTGCCTAGAATGTGTCAGGCCCTGAGTTTAGGTGTCAGTATCTCCCCCCTCCCCCCACAGACATGAATGAGTAAAAATAAAGGCTCACTTTTGACAAAAAATAAAGGCCTTGACAGGAAGTGAAGTAAAACCAGTATTTGAACCCAGTTCACTGCAATCTAACCAGGTGGGCATAGAGGAGACCCTTGCTCATCATGCACAGCCTGTTGACTTAGGGCAGTCAGAGTGGGGACTGACATCAGCATGACCCAGAGGTAAGAAGGTAGCTGGGGCTGGCAGCCCTTTGATTTTCAAGGGATCTAAACAGATGATCAAATATCAGCACATTGTCCTCTCTGAAACAAAGCTGAGAGAACACTAACTCTTGTAGTAAGCTGTCCTTCACAAGTACTTTGTTTTTCCCACAAAAAGAAACCAGGGATTGACATCTTTTGCTAGTTCTCAACAGAGGGCCTGCCACATTTTTGTGGTCAATTTATGAAGTCTATGACTTTATAGTACCCCAATAGCTGGGGGAAGAAATTGTGATTGTCATAAGATTGAACAGTCCACTGAGTCTTTAATCCTGCTTCAATTACCAATGCTGTTTGATTTTATTCAGTGTCTAATGTGCTCTGAGGAATTTATACATTAGTGGCTAGTGTGAAGCTAATTGTATACAAGTTTAATAATATGATAGTTGACTCCTGAAAACCATTTTTTGTATGAATTTATCATTACTATTACACATGCAATTCATAAATTTTGCCAGCAATCAAGAAGATTTATGGCAACCCTAGATACCTGAACTGCTCCCTATGTGGAGCCCTATGGATTATGTTATCATTTGCTGTTTACCATTTGCTCTTATCATACATATTTCAAAAGTTATTAAATTTTAGATTTGTTTGAGGACTTTATAAACATCCGGAATGTGTAATGTATACAATAAGATAAAACTGCCAACCAGAAGTCATAGCTGTAACTTTCATGACAGTAAGGGTTTCTAGCTCCTAGACTTAATTTCTACAAAAGTTTAGAAACTTTTTTTTTAAGGAGTCCATTAATCACACCCTGACAAAACCATCAAGTGTACAACAATTCTGTCTTGTTGGTTATGGTCTAAATGGCTCTACTAATGACACATTAACCAAGTTAGAGATGCCCTGGAAATTCTAAGTTAAATCGGCCATCTGATATTTGGGTCCTAAAATCCCTTAAGAACCCACCTCCCTCCAAAACACCAGATAATATAAACAGCAGCTCAAATGGAAATGCAGCCAAGTAGAATGTCTTTGGCTTCAAAGGGGATTGATAATGTGAAAAAGATAACTAAGTTTAAAAGGTATGTGCAAGCTACTGGCATCCTATGACTTTAAAGAAGGAGATAAGGCCGCTTTCCCAGCCCAGTTAGCTGGAAGAGTGAGTGAGTCATCAGGATTTCCTTATGTTGATATAAATCCAATGTCCTGAACCAGAAGGCTGCAACACTCACTTGCCTTTTAACTACCCTGAATCTATTTCTTCTGCAGTACCATATTTCTCAGAAGAGACAAATTCGTCTGCTGATACATTTATTATTTTAGAAGTCAATAGAGCAGCAACAGAGCCAATGAATACTAAGTCCCCGAAGAAGAAAGAATAATGAAAGCATTAAAGAATCCACTGCAAGTCCCTAATTGTCATTCTCAAGCTGTGGGTAGCAGATGTAGATTCTTAGTCACAATGAGCTGGGATAAAACTCCAGTGTACCTTCTTGGGAATGGTGGAGCTTATTTCTGGGAGTGTGGGAGTGGGGCTGATTCTAGCTGTGTGCTGGACATTTCTGACACCACTAGCTCCCTGGTTCTCTGATTAAGTGACACACTGAGTCCCTCTCTGGGCCAGGAGATATATGGCCCTTCTGATCAATGGTAGAGGAATATCTGCAGTGCCTGAGCACTGGCAAGGGGGAAAAGGGCCCAGGTAACAAGTCTGACTGCAATTCTTGTGCAAAGAAGTTTGGGAACTGGAAATGGGCTACTGCAATGCTAGGCACAATTGGAGCTTGAACCTTGAAAAGCAAAACATAAATTATAAAGTTTAAAAAAATATAACAAGTGAGACAAAAATACTCTCTGTGACTTTAAAAGATTTTGTGGGAAGAAGAGCTTTGGAAGAGGGCAGGGAGACTTCTCTTAAAATATCAAGAACTCATCTTATGAAATATAAGGAACCTAACCACATAAATGCAAAGTTGGGAATTACACACAAGCAGAATTTGGTTCTACATAAGGAGGGCTTTGTGATATGCAAAACTGCCCCACAATGCAATGTGCTACCTGGAGAAGATAGTGCCATAGCTGCACAAACTACTTCCTGGAGGTAAGAGAGGACAAACACACAACTGGCTGGCAGATGGTAGGCTCCAAAGTATATGCTGATATGGTGGAGAAGGGTGGCTGTGGTAATTAATGGTGGACCAGTGGTGATGGTGGTGGGGATGCTGGTGTGCCTGTGGTAATGACGATGGTGGCGAAGACTGTGGAGATGGTGACAGTGGTAGTGTTAGCTGGTGGTGATGGTGGCAGATGAGCCAATGGAGTCCTTCCCAACCTGAGAGTCATGGCTCCATGAAGATCTGTCAGATTTATTTCCATTAATAACAGAGTTCAAATCAAAGACAAAGCATGGCTTTGAAGTCAACATGGCTTTTCCTGAGGAACGTGGGTGATTTAAGCTACTTGTGTCACTTCTTTAAGAAATTAGCAAGACCTCCAAGGAACTTCTTTCCCATCTGCACACCCCATCCCATGATGGTTTCACATTTCCTCCCCAATTTTAAAGAGCTTTTGTAACACCATGATTAGGACTTGCAGCTACACAGCAAGCACACCTGCTCATTGTGAGCAAAATTAACCACCACTTACCGTTGATAAGTTCTGAGTTTGTCAAGGGCACAGAAACACTTGATAAAACCACCTCTACCTCCCCCGCCCCACCCAGTACCTCTAAAATTTCTCCAGAAGCTGTCGTTCCTGCTGGTGTGGCGCCCCCACCCCCGACACTTGGACATAAGACATAAGAAGAACTCCAAAAACCAGCTGATTATGAGGGGAACGCAGGAATGTACAGGACCCTCCAGCTCAGCCTCCCTCCTGGAACCCCCTTCTCAGAGCAGCCCTCTGCGACTTTCTTCCTGAGCCCTCATGAAGCCATCTGTGTGTTTAGCTAAGCCTGCCTTGAATTGGTCTGCCATTTTGGCTTACATGAGCTCTTGGGGAGGGAATCCCACATGCAGCCTGCCTGCTGTACAAACGCCCTGTTTTGATTTATGCTGCACACAACTTCCTTTTGGCTTCGAGGGGACACTTGTTTTAGCTGGAGTTCTCCCTGTGCCCTCGCCTCTTTCCTTCTCAGGACTTATTCAGAGATTACAAAGTGGCTGCCATACTTTCTATGTTGATTAACTTGGGCCACACAGAAATGAGAACATTGGCTGCGGTTGTCTGGAAAGCAGGGTTAAACAAGCCCTGTGGTGGATCAAAACCTTCTCTCGCTGCTTTTGCTGGTAGCTTCTGAGAGCTGACAAGCTGAGAGGCAGAAGCCCTGGAGCCCCGGGCCCTGCACACGCAGGAGGCTGTGGCAGAATTTCACCTCGAGAGAAAGCTAAAACCGAGTGTGGCTGATTCACATTCCCCTCTGGTAGCGTGTCTCACAGAGAGAAGGAAATGGTGCTTTCCAGCTCTTTGAAGCCAGAATTCCAAGGCTTTCTTCTCTGTCAGACTCAAAGCTAAATGCATTTTTATTGCTCTCGTCCTCATCTCACAGAGAACATTGCACCCTTCCGTAGAGAAGATTCTTTTTCTATTTAAACCAAGGGATACAACTTACTCTGTGCACTAGTTAACATTCAGGGCAGCCACCCCAGCTGCAGAGCTAGTTCAAGGTGGCCTTGCCGGACTTTTCCATCCTGACTCTCCAGCCAAGAGCCTGAGCCAAGAAAGGGCTTGCTCACCTCGGGCTCCCCGCAGTCACATTCTTCTCCCTCTTCCACATATCCGTTCCCACACTTTTGGCCCCCGAAAGACTGCTTGACCTCTGGGAGGTTGAAGAGGCACATCCCCATCCCCTTCTCCAGGCTGGTCTCCAGGTCCTTCCGGCTGCAGCTGCTGAACACCATGGGGAACGGGAACCTGATGAGGAAGAGCCCGAGTGAGTCACAGGGCACAGGATGACCTTTCCTGCTGTCACCTGCTGCTACTCATGCCACCTGGTGGCAGTCTGCCCAGATGTTCCCCCTTAGGCTCGATGAACAAAGGTCTAAATCTACTGAATACAGTGGACATTCAGCCCTCATGACAGTCGCTTCTGTTCAGTGCCACCACTGCTAAGGAAGAAATAGCTGGGCATGGTGGTTCATGCCTGTAATCCCAACTACTCAGGAGGCTGAGATCAGGTGGCTCACGGTTCAAGACCAGCCCAGAAAAAGATGGGGTTTGTGAGACCCCATCTTAACCAATCGCTCAGCTAAATGGGAAGCAACAGAAGGCTCATGGTCCAGGTCAGTCTGGTCAAGAACTCAAGACCCTGACCCCAAAATGACTAAAGCAAAACGGGCTGGCGGAGTGGCTCGAGTGGGAGAGCACCTGCCTAGCAAGCACGAGGCCCTGAGTTCAAACCTCAATGCCACCAAAAAATTTTTTTTCACAGCTTTCAAACTTTCAACAACTTTAGACAGAATGTCATCACAGGTGTCATGAATATTTCTGGGGAAAATGGTGAAATCTTAGGACTGTAGCTTATAAGAAGAACACATATTGGTGTCCTTATTGGTGAGAATAAAGAAGAGAAAGGTCCACCTGACGGTACCTATCAGTTTCATGATATAGAGACAGAGGGCTGCACCCAAGGTCAAGGCCAGCGGATACTGGCCCTCGGCTCTGTGAAGGTCAAATCAGCCCTCTCCCCACATGGCTGGAAAAGAATGCTGGGGGACAACGCAGCACCAGCGCTCACCTCTGAATTCTACACAGGGCTGTGGCGGAGTCAGGCAACTCCTCAGCAAAGTTGTGCTCCCCTTCCTTCGGTGGTCTTAGAGGGGCTTCCCAGACTCTTTGCTCCTGGGTGGGCTGTGTGACTAAGTTTTGGCTTTGGTGGCACATCGGTGGAAGGGAAAGGGCTCACTAGGCTCTTGCTAGTACAGCAAGGCCCTTCTTTCCCTTGCTGCCAGCTGAGATCAGGGTATTCTATGCCTTAGGAGATGGAGGACTCAAGCATGGCACCTGGTCCTGACGCGTTGGAAGGAGGGGAGCCAGCTGTGGCCACGAGCCACAGTGTGTCATACGGAAGGGAAACACACTTTGGATCTGGTAAGCCCTGGGAAGGGGCAGGAGTGGGGTGGGGAGGGGAGGCTTCTTCTTACTGCAGCTAGGGGTGAGGACATGGTTTGAGTGTAGGCCCTAGAGATTTGTGTGTTGGAATCTTGGTCCCCAGTGTGCTGAGGTTGGGAGGTGATAGGGCCTTGTAGTGGTAATGTCATAGGGATGCCACCCTCAGAAGGGATTAAGGTAGTTCTTGAGGACCTTGGTTAGTTCCCGAGAGTGAGGTGTTATAAAACGAGTAAGCTGCACCCCCAAATCCCTCTTGCTTCCTGTCTTGCCATGTTAACTCTCCTTCCTGAATGCACACCTGTGATGCCCTCTGCCATGAGGCCTCACCAGGGCCAAGCAGATGCTGGCACTGTGCCTGTGAACTTGCTGGAGATACCTCTTTACTTTCTATGCCACCCGGCATCAAGTATGTTGTTACAGCAACAGATATCAGACTAATATAGTTATCCAACACAAAGGGTCACTCTCTTTCACAAATGTATTTTCCCATATCTTGAGGCAGGCATGCCAGAAACCCAAAAGGTTTTATTAGTGAGGAAGCAGGGCCCCTTCCCATGGAGACATTTATGGATTGCCATCATACCTGGATCTCAACCAATTAGCCAAACCAACACAAGCTGCTCCATTTCTCTGAAGGTGGCACAGTAGCTGCCACATAATGACTGAGTTTAGCAAAGTTTCAAGATTGTGATGATTTCCAGAGCCAACCTGATGATCCCACTCCAACCCAAGGGCTCAGGCTATTAACAATTAGTACTGGAGTACAATACTAATCCACAAATCAGTTAATGAATCAAAGTCCTACTCTGTACAATGCAAAAGCTGTAACAAAGTTTCCTCTGTAGGCATCACACCTCTCCTTGGCAGACAGATTGATTGTTCCTGGTATCAAAATGAGGCTGAACAGGTTCATCGAATTACAAAGTGTACTACCTTCAATTTAGAAGGGCTTTGTATGCAAGAGACTAGTTCATTGCATAGGAACTATGAGTAGTTCTCTTTGCAAAGGAGCAGTTTCCACCATGGTTTAGGTGAGAGCCTCTCCTACATGAGAGATCCTAGGACATGTGTGTGTCTCCATGCTGATTCAGGAGCCTGAACCTCATTCTCACCCAATCATCTGCAACTCCATGATGTGATGACAACTATGATTGGTTCATTTTGGAAGGGAGCAGATTTCTAGATAGTGTTCAAGTTCATTAGGAAAAAACCTGAGGACAAGTTGTAGGTCTCAGGAAGTGTTTGTAGTGGGAATAATAGTAGTAGAAGCCAGAAGAAAGGGTGGCTTGAGTCAGACTGTTTCACAAGAGAGCCAAATGTCCACAGACCCCTGGCATGGAAGGGCTGAGACCAGCTCTACTCAGCAAGCTGGGACAAGTCTTCCCCATGTCACTGACATTAAAGAAAAGGGACAGAAACACATATGAATGAGGTCAGTTTAGGTGCCAGGGTAGAACTTTGGGAGGGTAGAACAAATCACCACTGGCCCAAGTACCTTCTTCGTGTCTGTGCTAAATGTGGTCGGCTGGAAGCACAGTGATCTGTGTAGTAATAAACTTCTATTTCCCTTAGCTTTTTCTTATTTTGTTGAAGAACAACCCCCCAAGTGCTTTTAAAATTCGCCCTCATGCACAATCACAGGGGGATGTGATTCATCCAATGCCCTGGCTCCATCCTTGCTCTGAGAAAGCACTTGCGGGTATTAATTCTTCAAGGTGCCTTGGTTTTAACTGCAAGATAGCAGCAGCCTCCTCAGATGCTAAGTGGAGGCCCAATGAATTCATGGCCCTGACAGATCTTTGCTTAGGGTCGCTCACGCACAGAACAGAGTGGGTCAACACTACAAAGCCTGGGCTCACCAAACAAACACCATGCCCACTAAACAGCCAGTCCTCATTCTCCTGTCCAACATACGTCTGCTCTCTGGCCTTATGGGTTTGCCTGTCTGTTCATTTCACGGAGGTGGAATCATACAATATGTGGACTTTTGTGTCTGGCATTTTTCACTTAGCACGGTGCTTCATCCACATTTTAGTAATGGGTACTGATTCCTTCCCATGGCTAGATACTTGTTCTGTTGTAAGTAAGGCCATACCACAGTTTATCTGATCATCACTTAGTGGCCCATTAAAGCTTAGAACCAACCCACCTAGATTTCAAATGCACGTGCTTTAAGGATGATGTGTGGCCCACCCACGCTTACTTGCGGCGTAGTAAGAAATGCAATATAGACTTATCACAGATCACCTTTCCTGCACTGTGCTTACGTACAGCTCTGACATCGTGGATCCATATTCTAAGAAAAGTGCAAAGTATAGAATTTGGAAAACCTTACCTGGCTTTAGGTATGGACTGAAAATTCCGTATCTGCCTGTCTCTTCAAACTAAATTCAAACCAGGAATGCATGCTAAAATGTTTAGGAATTACAGTAAATGCACTGATTCTTATAGTGCACCTTAATTAAGGAGCAGGGCAGTGTCTGGTGGTTAGCAGAGAGATGCTCCCTTCCTCTTGTTTCAAAATCCAGTATGACAGCTCTGCCTTCCTCTCGCTCATAGTTTTCCTTTCCTGGTTAGTAGCTGTATTTCCTGGAGCATCCAGGAAAAGCACGCTGAATTGGGCTGTGTAGTTAGTTGTTTGGACATCAAAGATCTGGTTCAGCCCACGGTCTGTACGTAAAACGACAAGCCTCAGTTTCTTCCATAACTTTTGGCAAGCTCATCACAATGTCCTTTTTAATACATCTAATAAATTATCCCAAATATGCCAGGACAGTCGCTAACTGAATTGACGTATAGCAATGATAGACTGAGGCAAAGCAATAGACTTGGAGAATTACTCAGATGAGAAGCTGTTTCGAGTGATACTTCCCTTGGCACAAGAGCACTTTAAAATAATTAGAGCTGAGACCCAGAAAAAAAGGGCTGCTGTTAGCTCAGGGGCAGAGAATTTATCTCAGACACCATGGCAGGGTGACTGTGGCCCCTGCTTGGATGTGACCTCTTTTGTTAGACACATTCGCCTTCTCCTCTAATACTAACTACCAGGGACTCTTGGGGCGAGTTTACCATGCTGAATGCAAGGTTAGAAATAAAAAGAGGAAGAAATTCCTCTTTTTAGGAAGAAATTCCACCTAGAGAGAAAGCTAGGTGATTTGGAGAAAAAAATCCCCACCACTTGTTAAAAAAAAAAAGGAATGTTACTTAGAGCTTCTCACTACGAATGCACTCATGGCTTAATATTCCAGCTGTCACAAACCTGCCAAGTTAAACATTATTACAGGCTACTATTACTTTGACAAATCTACAGTCAGAAACTTCTTTTCTTGCGGGAAGCCTATTGTGCGTTTCACCGCTATGTTCTTGGGGTGAATCATACTAAGCCAATTTATCAACCCTGACAGAAGTCGGGAGTTGGCTCCCTTGCAAAGGCTCTCTGGGAAGCATTCTGGAGCAGAATACTTTTCTTGTTGGAAATTAGGCAGCCAGGCAAAGCAGCTGTAATCAGGCTGGATTGAGGGGCGGCAGGTCACAGTCCCTGCAGTCTCCAGGGACTCAGCTGTCTCCCTAATAAACGTGTCTCAATTCCCTGGCTCTGGGCTTGCACTGCCATCCATCCGAGTGCTGACTGTCGGGAAGAACCAGGAGTGATGGAGGAAGAGAGTGAAACAGTCCGGGCAGCTGCTGAGAACAGCTTGGGGTTGATGAAACAGTGTGACGGGAAAAGTCAGCTTGCAGGAAACCAGGGCTGGGAAGCCATCCAGATTTTTCTCCTTAAATTGATTGAAAAAAAAAAAAAATCC